TTGGTACTTGGTTTGGTATCGGTATTCCGATTTTCCGTAGTCGACGTCCTACTCTGCACCGCACATACATCAGGTCCGCCGCCGACGCCTCGGCACGCACACGCATCAGGTCCGCCGCCGACGCCTCGGCTACTCTGCAGTAGAGATGTCCTCGGATACAACTTTTCGGTATACCGATACCATACTGATACCAACTCGGTACTTGGTATTTGATTCCTAATGTGTTCGGTATTTTGATGGTATAATGAACCATAGGCTGGTACTTGGTTTGGTATCGGTATTCCGTTTTTCCGTAGTTGACATCAATACACTGCACTGCACATACAACAGGTCCGCCACCGACGCCTCGGCTACTCTGCAACCCACGCACACACATCAGGTTCGCCGACAACGCCCCGGCCACTCCGCAAATCACGCACATACATCAGGTCCGCCGCCGACGCCTCGGCTACTCTGCAACTCATGCACATGCATCAGGTCCGCCGCCGACGCCTCGGCCCCTCTGCTACTCATGCACACACATCAGGCCCGCCGTCGTATAGCCTCAGCCACCCCGTAAAATCTGCACCGGCATGGGTCGAGAATATGGTATGGCAGGCATGGCACGCGCCACACCAACTTAAAAGATGGTATGGCAATGCCATACCAACTTTTCAGGGTAACAGCTACGAAATTTAAGGATTTCAGTTTGATAAGAATAAAACACGATAGTATTGTTTCGAGCAACTGGCGCCATACCAACTTTGAAAACAATTCTCCACCCATGTTCGCACGTACATGAGGTCCGCCGCCGACGCCTCGGCTACTCTGCAACTCACACACATGCATCAGGTCCGCCGCCGACGCCTCGGTTACTCTGCAACGGCACATACATCAGGTCCGCCGCCGACGCTTCGGCTACTCTGCAACTCACGCACACGCATCAGGTCCGCCACTGACGCCTCGGCTACGCTACACCCCTTGCACGTAAGTACCTACATCAGGACCGCCGCCGACGCCTCAGCTACTCTGCAACTCATGCACATACATCGGGCCCGCCGCCGACGCCTGGGCTGCACTGTAACCCCTGCACACATCGGGTCCGCCACCGGCGCCTCGGCTAATCTGCAACCCATGCACACGCATCAGGCCTGCCGCCGACGCCTCGGCTACTCTGCAACTTACAGGCGCCAGGTGCGCCGCCGTCACCTCGGCCCTCTGCAACACGGTAGGCACTTAGCTTACTAAAGCGCATTTTAGTGACATCAGAGCCTGAGTCGATCGCCGGCGACCTGGTCACTCGTGGAGGTGTTCACCGCCGTACCGTACAACACGGAACGCAGACCATTTAGTCACGCCGGCGATTCGATCGGAGTCTGGCAGGCGTAGTTCAGACACGCTATTGTCATCGCATATAACATCTTGCCACGAAACCTGACACGAACCTGCCTGGGAGCCGCTTCAATAGCGAGATAAAGCAGCACTTGTTGACGAGGCAACGTGGCGGGGTTGGTTAGATGGGATAAGGCCCCTTGTCAAAACAGACCACGCATTTCGAGAAGCGCTTCCGAACGCAACCTGATGGACATACGCTGCCGCAGAAACACATCTCAGCCAGTCACCTTGGAGGCTCGGTTTAGCACTCAAGGAGTCTCTTTGTGAAAAGGTCTCAAAGTATTTTCTAAGTGGCCGCCTCCGTATTTCTGCAAATCGGCATACGCATACATCCGGTCCGGCGCCGACGCCTCGACCACTCTGTCTACACTACACACCTGGTCCGCTGCCGACGCCTCGGCTACTCTGTCTACACTACACACCTGGTCCGCTGCCGACGCCTCGGCCACTCTGTCTACACTACACACCTGGTCCGCTGCCGACGCCTCGGCCACTTTGCGCTTAACACATACGCGCACACACACACACACACACACACACGCACCCCCCCCCCCCCCCACACACACACATACACACCCGGTCTGCGTCATGCATCGGCTGCTCTGCAACTCGACAGGCATCTAGCTATCGACAGACTATGAACTTCTTTCGTCCAATGTCTGAAATACTGGGCTCAACGGTGGCAGACGAGACCGAACGAACAATCCGCACACACTGAGAAAACAGTTTCTCCTTTTTCGGTCTCAGAGATCAGTTTCGGGCTAATGTCCCCGATTCAAAACAGATCACACATTTTGAGAATATTTTCTGAGCAACGCCATTGATCGCAGAAACAGAGCTCAGTCGGTACCTATTTTCGGTGTCAAGCTTTTAAAAATTAGTCTTACTATGAAACCAGTTTCCAGTCCGAACCCCAGTTTCGGTATCGCTTGAATCCAGTATTCGGGTACATGAGCCCTTAGGAAGCCTTACTGAAACCGTTTTAAAATCAGACACATTTGAGGCTGGTTTTCAGCGCTCAATTGAGTCTTTATATTCAAACTGCTCTCAAAGTGTATTCTGAGTGCAGGAATCGAGCAAGCACAGACAAAATGCATGCAAGATCATGCCCGGACACAACTACACCGACTACGCCGCTGCCTGCCGGCTCCCCACTCTCGAGACTCCGAGTAAGCGTCGCGACACTGCAATCTGCGGCAAGCTGGCAGCCGACACTTTCGCGAACCCTGCCCACCCACGGTAACCCGTGCGAGCAGCTGCCAAATGTGAGTCCCCATATGCGCTGGCAATGCAAAGTTGTCATCCCGCAGGCCAGAACGGAGCGGCAGAAAAGTCATCGGCGCCCGTGCTCACAGGCCTCATGAACAGCACGTGATTCTTAGGTAGGGGTAGGTGCGTTTAAAGTACCCTAACAATGCACCGTTCCTACTTTCCGTGAGGCACTGTGCTTTGCGTGCGGTGCCATCACAGCACCGGAATCTATGCACAACCTTTTCTACCAGTCATTCACGGCCACATGGCCATACAAACCCCATTTATGTATGTGCGGTCGTATGAGCACGTAAACCGGGTCCGCCGCCGACGCCGCGGCTAAGTTGCGCGCAACATAGGTCTACGGGACCGCTGCAGACGACTAGATAATCTGCAGCACGATATCAAAGACGAAACCAGGCCACTGATCCCAGATTCGCGGCATTCCATTTTAGCCAGCACCGATGACGTCGGTTTAGGCGCCGGGAAGCGTGCCGGGCTAAACATCACAACCCCGAGGCCGTGAACACGGGGGTCCAAGACCGACACGAGGACAAAACCATCGGATCGGACCCCCCCCCTCTCACCGCAGTGTGTCCAGGCATGGCTTCACACACACCGGAATATCAGCGAACGACACGGCAGGGCCGCCGGGAACCACAGTCGCCCCTCCCCCCCCCCCCACCCCCTCCCCCAAGGCCGACCGCGCCGACCGCCAGTCAGAAAAGACAGCCATCGGCGGAGCCAGAGCCGGCCGCCGGCCGCTGTCACAGCCCCGGCACCGCCATGACACCGGACCGGCTGATGAGACAGTCAACGCCGGGGCAGCCGCGGGCCCGCCTGCCGGTACTGTCCGCGGGGCCACAGAGGCTCACAGTGGGGCCGCCACGGTCCTCAAACCGGGCGACAGCGGCGGGACGGGCCGCCCGCCGCAACCTGATACCAGCCGACGCCGCACGACCCGGCTCCCCCGCTGGTCCCCCGGCGGCCACGAGAGGCAGACGACTAACGAACACCCCGAACACGGTCACGTTCCATTAGTGGGTCGCGGCGCCCCCACGCCGGTCGACAGTGAGTCACTGGCGTCACTGTGCGGGGAGTATGGGGTCCAGTCACAGCTGACTCAGGACGGGAGCCGACCTTGGGGTGGAGGGAGTCCCTCGCCGCCCCGGTTCACACTAACTGGTTCGACCCAAACTCACCACCAAGAGCCATGCCGCAATAACAGACCGGGCATCGCCAGCGGAACACACTGGGAACCTTCCGCATGCGGCATGTGCCCGGATTCGTGGTCAAACCATTAACTGCTCAGCAGAGATCGAGAAAGGTGTGGGCAGCGGACGCTTAGCCTAAGACTTTTTCATTCCATTGGGTGTATTTGGCGTTTTTTAGGGGCCGTCCTACCCTACAAACGAGCCGACGCGAGTGGTTTCGGCCGCTGACAGCCAACTGAGGCGAACGCTTGGTGATAGTGGCGCGGGCAACGGGGGCCTAATCAACTCATAGCGGCGACGCGGCTATGGAAGGTTAGGACCCTGCCCGGGCGCCACTGAACGTGACCGGAGCAAAGGGAGACGGGGGTCGGAGATAGATAAATCACCCCGCCGACAGACGCGGGGCAGACCCTGACTAGGGGTGGTGCGAAGGGGAGTGTAGGAACGGGCGCGCCGCTGGCAGGAGAGCCGAGAGGCGCGAACGGCAGTCGTCGACTGCGACGGACGGCGAGTGGAGCAGAGAGTGGGCGAGAAGTTTCCCACCCACCCTCACCTATTTAATAGATGCGACTTCGAGATTCGTCAAACCTGCATATCCTTAATCCCGACCATATACCTCGTCGTTATCACTCCGTCGGTGCGTTTTTTAGGGGCCGTCCTACCCTACAAACGAGCCGACGCGAGTGGTTTCGGCCGCTGACAGCCAACTGAGGCGAACGCTTGGTGATAGTGGCGCGGGCAACGGGGGCCTAACACGCGATATTTGTGTTGAAGAACGTACTAATCCGTCGTGTATTTGGGCGTATGAGCAACACTCGGTCGATGCAATGTCTGGGTGTTGGCTGGGTTGTTTAACGTGTTCACCTGGTCGTTAACACCATTACGATGCATTCCTGACATATCTGTTGATCTTCATCCCATCTGAGGCGCTATTGCAGGGTGCCTCTGGCGGTTTGTTGGTACTGCCCCTTCCTTGGCCTCAGCAGTTCTTGCTTTTTATGTTACAGCGCAAGACGCGTCTTCATAGCGTTAAGAAATATTGAGTCGTTAAAATGAATTACACCTGAGTGCCGACCTGACCGGTAGCCCCCAGCTGACCTGACCGTTAACCCCAGCCGACCTGTCACCGCCCTGCTGACCTCTGTCTTCTGTGCGCCGCAGATGGCTCCGGTCCGTCCACCAGCGCGGTGGCCGCCGATTTCTACGGGTCTCTGTCGTCGGGCGGCGAGCGGCAGTCGGCGCCGGCCGACGCCCTGGGCCGGCCCGGCGAACACTCCAAGCTGCTCGAGATGCTGACCTCTGAGGGCGCGGCGGCGGCGGCGGCGGCCGTGGCGGCGGCAGCGGCGGCGCCCGGACCCGCCGGCCTGCGCCATCCGGCCGGTCACCCCCAGCAGCAAGGTGAGGGAACTGGGGAGAGGAGCCAGAGCCAGAGGTGTGGGGAATGACAGCGGAACTGGATGGCGCTGAACGTGTTCTGCTCCCAACGTAAAGCATCATCTTGTCGCCTGCTCTTCGTAATTTGGGACCGTACCTACTTTTTATCTTCTAAAACTCACGATTGAGGCATCAACCATAACCATTAGATTTATTACCATACAGAAATGGAGCAACCCACAAACCTCGAAGGCTTCACTTATTATTAAACTAATATCCAAACATTTGCCAACCCTAATTACGTGACACGGAACTAGACACGACCTCGGTGACCTCTCGCGCGAACGCCATCCAGTTTTGCGTTTTTGGCACACCGTCAACCTCCTGTCCTGCCCGCTCCGCTTAGCTTCCTGGTCGATGCAGGAAGCAGTCTGCAATGTCGGACGAGCACGGCGTGCCTGGTGCATGACGGCTGCAGTGATGCCTTCCGCGGCCGACCGGCCCGGTCGCGTGTTTTCCCCCTGTTGTGTGCGGCACGGGCGCGCCGCGCGCCGATGCCGCTCAGTAGCGAACTCCGGCCGTCGGCCGCACTTTTACGGTAACCTTGAGCGGTCGCGTGCCGGTTTTTACCAGCAGCATGTTTTTCGCATGAGGACATTGTTGTCAACAGGGGCCAAGCGGTTGGCCGTTGACCCGCGATCGCCGCTACTGTCCCGGTGCGCTGTGGGGTCTATTTTTACGGGGCGCCACTCACGAGGCCACCGACCGCAGCTATTGTCCACAGGGCGGCCAAGGCCGTACCGGGGCGCCCCCACCGTCTCCCCCTTTCTCTGGCTGCCCCTGTGGGCCGAAAATACCCCCTCAGCAGTCAAGACGAGGTGGGTCAACCACCTCGTCCGGTGGACGAATAACAGGCGCTCCCCTGTGGTAGGATTCGCACGCCGCGCTGCGCCCCACCTAAAAATGGCGTAAACACCAAACAGGTCTTCCAGTTGCGGGCGGACGGCCGTGGATGAGCGGTTTCCTGTGCGCCCTGACCTTGGTCGGGGAGGGAGCGGAGACCAGGGGAGGGACGGCACCGGGGCGACTTCTGAAAGCTCCAGATGTTTACCGGGCTGGAGTGAGACAGGAATCTGTTAACAAGGATGATGGGCCGATAGCGTCAGATCTTGTTGCTACAATTTGTGGGTCTTCACTCTTCGCCTTACATGACTAGTTATTTTCCGTATCAAATAATACGAAAGAATCCTGACCTCCAGTTCTTTGACCAGTGACCTGACATCCTGCCTTTGAATATTGACCCTGATCCTCTGATCTTTGACCGATGGTCTGACCGATGACGTTTGCCTGTTGACCCGAAATCCGGCCTCGACCTGACCTCTGATCGTTGTCTCTTGGACAGGCTCGCTGCCACCCAGCCCAGCCGACAGCGGAGTATCGGATGTCGACAGCAGCAGCGGCAACGCCAGCAACGACGAGTCCAAGCCGCGGCTACACTGTGAGTACCGATATAATCATTCACATCAGCCGTGATATGGAGGTGACACTTGAAGGAAATAGTCTGCTTATTTTCGCGCCCTATAATCATCAATGCATATCACTGACGGGCTGAAGTTAAGTTCAAGCATTTCGTTGATAGAAACATTGGGCGAAGATGGTATTGGTACGCCAATATTACAGTTCATTTCAGAAAACAGAGTAATCCATTCGGTAAAGGCATTCCAAATCCTGGAGATTGCGTCATTAGCGATTCTTGTAGTGCCACTGAAAGCAATTCCCTATTTCTGGCAAGCCTTTGTGGTGATCTGCCTTTGTGCCGATCCTAAGCGTTTCTCCGGTGAGAAGAAATATGTCGTTCGGAAATTGATTTCCGTTTATAGCGAATAGCAATATCATACAGTAATGCACATCACACCTGCACTCAAGTCTCATTGTCAGTGAATGCCTCTCCATATTGGCTACGCATTCCGATCAGCAACTGCGCAGTGCGGCCGGCGCCCCGGGGTCGTGACCCGTTTCCGTCCCGGGGCGGCCCACCCGACACCAGTGGTGTCCGCTGGCGAGCCCTTACGGAAGCGATCTGCGGCGGCGCCGAGTGACCTGGTGACCCAGCGGCATCGAAACTGGCCGTCCGCCCCCGCCGGCGGCGCGGGGACAGGGGTCCACCCTGCCACCGCGGCTGCTCGGACACGAGACGGCCGGCTCAGGTGGCTGAAAGGCGAGGTGACGGCCGCCGGCCGGGCACGTGGGAGCGCACCATCAGCGGATGTGCGCAGCTCCGGAGCCGAGGCGCTGGCCTCAGCTCGGACCGCCGGCTCATCTGCCGGTCAGAGGGCCTGGGAGGGCAGCTCCTCTGCTGACGCCGCCGACTGCTGACGTCGGCCGCCGCTGACGCTCAGCGGCGCTGATCGAGTTTCTGCACGGCGGCCGCCGCGCGCCGATTAGGAGCTCACAGGCTGAGGTGATTGATGTTATTTGAGGCGCTTAGACTCGAACCGTCGTCTCTTTTTGTCTCCCCGCTCGCTGACAGCCACGGGGAAGATACAGTTACGATCGCTCGCGCGGCGCGCCGCTCCGTTTGTCGCCCTCGGCTGTCGGAAGTGGTGCATGGATCTGTCGATACGCTCCCCTCGTTTGTGGGCCCCGAGGATTCCACGCGCCAGACCAGACGGCCAGACAGGGTGCGGCGTTTTTTGTCGTGCCGTCTGCTCGCTCAGCGCGGGCCCGTGCTCGCGGCGCGGCGCGGCGCGCGAGTCGCCCCATTGGAAGGGGAGCGGCCAGTCACCCTGACGGGGGGCTGTCTGGCGCACAGCCGCACCGGCGGCAGCTGGCCGGCTCAGCCAAGGTCGCTCCCCGTCTGGTGCCGAACCTCTGTCTGGCCATGTATTTGGTCCGGCGTCGCATGGACCACTTCGGTAGATCGGGTCTTGTTGGTGAACCCAAGACGGAAGAGGCCTGTGATCGAGCTCAAGGTCTTGGCTCTCCAGTGTCGGAGATTGAATGATCGCCAGATGGAGTTTTTCGCAGCCTTTACGTGCCACGTGTTTCCATCAAGTCTTCAGAGAAACGTCACTCTCATTAATGACTATCAGTGATTACACGGAAGCGTTTTCCTGGTCTCGTCATTCCTCCACCACCCGCCCGAGCCGTCAGTTGGTACCCTGTAATACGCCAGGTACCGTGTCGTCGATACCGTCCGCTGCCAACTCAAACTGCCGTGCCGATCTCGCCAACTATCCCGGAAGTGGCGCGGTCCTGTGAGAGCGCCGGTCCTGATTCACTGGCACGGGCCGGGGCGCCGAGCGGGCCGCTACCCGTCGGCCTTGGTGCCGACAGCCCGGCAGCGGCTGCGTGCCGCCGCGGTCGGCGCTGGCTGACCCGCTGGAACGCGGACGCTGTGGCCAGCCGCCAGTCAGCCGCGTCAGAGAGCCAGCTCGGGCGGGGAGTCGGGGAGTCGCTCGGGCGGGGAGTCGGACTGCGGGCCCCCTCCCCCACTCCCCACGCCCCTCCTGAGAGCTGCCCAGCTCGGGCTAAAATACAACGGAACCGAAATGAGACCGGTGCGAAAGGACACGGGAAGCAGATATGGAGATGGAAGGGTCGTGATTCTAAAGTGACGAATTCCGGACAGCCATAGTCGCTGGGTGGCGGGCGATAAAAATTTGTGTTTGTTTTGGAAGTGTGCTGGTATGCCGCTACGATATAAATACCTGTCATAAATATGGCGTGTGTTTAGAAACTTTGAAATAGCCTGTCTCTGGCTCGGTTCAAATGTTGCTGTTTTTAAGCTCGGTTGATAGCTGGCGACCATCTCACATACCTTATGAAATGTATTCGTTATATGATAGCCCGGGTCAACCCGTCCGTCCGATCGAATCCGCATGAGCAGCTTGACAAAACAAAATTTTGCAAAAACAGTACAACAATCTCCTTTGTCACCTTGGAGGCTTCGCCTTTCATTCGCCATTCGAACGCTGTGCGACCGTGATTGGCGTATTGTGCACTGCACTGTGCATGACTTCCCGCCCGGAAATGCCGACAGTGCACAGTTCCATTGTTGACCCAGCGGTTTCAATCGGCCGTTGGAATTGTGGTCGACCGGCGGGGCGAGGGCTGCAATCGTTACGTAAAGCCCAGAGAATGAGGATGTGGAGCGAACCAAGGGGAACGGGTGGTGTTTGCCGTTCACTTTTGACGGCGGTTTCGCGTTCTCCGGGGCTGGCTGTGTGCTAGGCACGTCCCCGTGTGTGCTGTCCGACCGTGTCGAGGCTCTCATTCGGTCTGTTTCCGTGAGGTGAATGGAGACTGCACCGTGATCGGGCGCCGGTCAAGGAGCTCTGCAGGTTAGCCGGGGAGTTGATGCGGCCCTCCCTGCCCCGACTGGCCGGCCACTGAGCAGCGGTGGCGACAGATGTTCTGTTGCCGACGGCGCCGTCGGTTCCGGGTCGGCGCGCGCACCCCTCTCGTCGGGGGTCGATGTGCTGACGTCACAGAGGGGTCATCGATCCGACGGCCAGATAGCACCAGAGGGGAGGGGAGGGGAGGGGAGGGGTAAGGCCGCGCCAGGGTCGCCGCCCGAGGCGCTGTTTGTAAACAGTCCGGGTCGTCCACAGCCGGCGGACGGCCGCCGCAGCTCGGTGTCAGCCCCGGCTGGCAGACTGCCAACATACCGCCACTGACTCTGTCGAGGCACTGAGATCGAACCACCTGCAGGTCTCCGGGAGAGGTGAATGAACCGATTCCCTATGCCGAGAGTCGCCAACTGGCGCCGATGGCTGGTATACAGTACACACTATACACTATGCAGACTGCACCAACAAATGGCACGGTCTCCTAGGACCCCGCGATTTACGGGACAGCGCACACTTGCTTAGACAGCACACTTGTGAAATTGTATGCTCTAAATCTGTCACCCAGAATTTACCGAAAATTGCAACAACGTGCTCTGTGCCAGTTACTAGCTAGGAGAAGAGGCCTTGGGGCGATGCGCCTGTGCTGTGTGCTGACCCTTCTGACCTTGCTCGTGACCTCTGTTTGGCAGTGGTGGGCCGGACAGACGACGTGCAGCACCCCGCTCACCCGTTCTACGGTCAGCAGAGGCACCCGTTCCGGCACCAGCCCTACCCGCGACCACCAGGTGAGCGAACGGAAAGACAGGGGAAAAGGACGACCGAAAGGTCCCCGGGGTCACCTCCGGGCCACTGGAGGGTTTGACGGGCGGGTGGTAAGACACATTGGTCGTGTTGAAAGGTTACATACAATTTGATAGTCCGTGATGTGGGAGGCGAGGCAGGACAGGCGTTCGAAGCTACGCTTAGTTCCACCGTGAACCGCCGGAAGTTGCACCGACAGCCAGTGTCGATCACCGGTCACCGTAATTCGGCCGGCGGACACGGCGGTCCGCCCGGCTGTCATCCACTGGTCGTGACGTCAGAGGCCGGGTCGTGACCCCGCGCCGCTGCAGAGGCCAGCGTCCGGGACGAGGGGGCGTGGGATGGCCGATCGACTCGGTAATATCGCCGGCGCTGCATGGCTCCGCGGCCTGCGCCGCCGTTTGACACCTTACGTACCTTACAATTATGGAACTGGGAGTTGGACGACGTGTGCGGGTTCCGAATTTAAATTAATATGTTATAAAGATGTGTTCAAGGAGACACTATTCCGGTAGCTGCCAATGCCATGGTTCCATTCACTCTGCTGAAGCTGAAGTTGTTATCTGAAGTCGGCGCCGCGGCCCCGCTCTAGGTTTGGTGTGCTGCGGTACAGCATGCCTTCAGGCGTAACCACTACTGCCACCTAGGGGGCCGTTTTGGAAACTCCCCGTTATCGAGGCCTGCATGGCGTAATGCACCACTGTAATCCAACGCGGCCCATCCCAGCTCATCAGCAATGAGAGCTGCCTTATACGTCCTATCGAGTGTCCTTGCCGCGGGCCAGTTGCGAGGCCGTCGGGCTGTCTGCCGTCTCTGTCAGCGTCATGGGCGCGCTCCCGACCCGTCCCCTCCCGGCCGGCAGTCGCCAGGGCCACGCGACGTTACCAGCCGGAAGAGCCGACCATTCCAGCGGCCACAGCCACCAATCTGCCGGGCCACGGCAGATTGTCGGCAGTTGGACCGCTCACGGGCCGCCCAACTCGACTGCGGTCGTTTGTCAGGGTTCTGTCGGCCGCATCCTGCACCCGAGGACGGCTCGCCCCTCCCCCCGGCCCGCCCCCACCCGCCGCGGGTATGGCCCACGGCCGGCGGGGAGGGGCGGTCTGGAGCTCGCGGCTTCCGGGATCAGCACTTGGATGAGTCGTCGTCGCCTTGCTGACTAGTTGCAAGTTGCCATTACGGAAATTCCGTCTAGATATCGACTCACGAAGGGCCGTTGCGAGCGGTGCTAGCCTTGAATGTCGGCTCGCATTATTTCCTGCTTCTGGTTGGGAAAAGCGCCAGAAGTTGGCAAGGCTATAGAACTAAAGCGGTATCGTCCTTGGGGTTTATGCTCCTTGTTTTTAGTTTTGAAGAAGTTAAGTGGATATTCAATATATCATATGAAAATGCGAATCAATGATTTTCGAAGATTTAGCCGTAATGTGTAATGACAGGACCACGACGTAGTGTGTAGCCGGCGCTATTTATCCAAAACCGTGAGCCAGAACGATGCATATCGTGGCGTTCTTGCCTACATAATTCTGCTGAATCACTGGCCACCTGTTCGGCGCTATTCAGCCGTCAGTTCGTGTCCAGCAGCGGGACCATTTTCCAGAAATGTCACCGACTCCGCTCATCACTTCGTGTCGGAGTGGCCGTGTTGAGCCGCTGCGGGCCGGCGCGCCCACGGCCGCTCGTGAAACGTCTCCTCGCAACCGGCGGCCGGTCCCGAAACAGCGCCGGCGGCGGGGGAGGCGGCTAAAAGCGTCCAGCGGCTCCGTTTTGGTCGCTCCATTGATCGCCGCCCGCCCACTAACCCTGACCGCCGCACCTCCGACGTCACGGCCGCCCGCCGCTGACGTCACAACCTCGTCGGTGGCGACGCGGTCACGAGTGGCGTGACGTCGGCGGCCGGCGGGGTCACCGGGGACGGATTGGAGCCGTGAGCGGCCCGCCGACCCCCGGAACGGCTGCCCGAGAGGTGCTGACTGCGGCTACACGAGGGAGTTTGATAACGTTATCTGATATAGAAGCGATCAGGGTCTCAAGAAATGTCCGTCATCGTTGGTATTTCTGAGGATCATACAGCAAATAGCTAGTGGTATTTCATAATATCGTTCAGGAAACATCGACGAACCTCAGCATTTTTATGTCCGAAAACCGGGTGTCTGGCGGATGCCTTTGGTCGCCGCGGCACTCAGGCGGCTCACCCACGCCTCCATCGGTGCCGGCCACAGGTATGGCTGCGGTGAGCCGTCCGTGTGCCGTCTGCCGCTGCCACCCACTGCCCACCGGCGGGCGGACGGACGGCGGGCGGCGGGCGGGCGCACTTGGAGGTCATCCTCACGGCGCAGCGCTCTCCCACGACGGCGCGCGGCCGTTTCCGCAACTGGCGGCGCCCGGCGCGCGGCGCGCTGTCCAATTTCCGGCCGGGCGTTCCGCGGAGCTTGTCAGCGACTAATTGCCGTCTGGGAGGCCGTGCTGGACACCGGCCGGCGGACCGCGGCGCCGCGTCTCCCTGTCGGATCCTCTCCACCCCGCTGAGACACGGGCGAGACGAGATAGACACCCGATTAGAGCAGACCACCGCTCCTATTGCGTCAGGCTATCGGTGGGCACTTATGTAACAAATGGGTGGCCAAGTGCGTTTGCGGCTTCTTTACGACGTGTGAGTGGCTCGGTCACCGTGTCCTTTTCCTTGAGCGGCTTCGGGCGACGTCCGGAAACTGCTCAGCTGGCTGCAATCCGTTTGACCGTGCCAGGTGCTCATTGTCATGCGCGAATGTTCTGTTTGATATGTTGATGCTTGTTTTGAGATGCACAGGACTTGTTCAGGGTGACGGGGCAGTTTTCCACGGAAGCTTCCGTCGCTCCGCCGTGGTCCCGGGGTTTTCCGAGGTTCTGTCGATAGTCGAACTTGTTGATTAGTACAGATTTAGTGCGTGGGTATGTCGAGTACTATGTCGAGTATCCCGCCAAGCTCCGACGTGTCGTGGTGGTTTCCGATAAATATGCTGACGTGTTATGACAATTATGGATATGGGGATGACCGTGGTAACGTTTCACCCATCTTCTGCGATCCTGTAAATCTTCTGTAACTGTTTCATCTCCTGGTAAGCGATGTGGTACAGACACTGACGGCTCTCTCTCCCCTGTTTCAGTGTCGGACAGTTTGTACGGCAGCGGCGCGGCGGCTGCCCGGTCCCCGTACCCAGTCTCGGGCTCCAGCAGTGTGCCGCCGTCCCCAGTGGCGCTCTACGCCTCCAGCCTGGGTCTCCCCGCCCCACTGTTCGGCGACGGCCCGCTGTCGCTGCCGTCACCTCTGCTCGGCAGCCCGCCGGCCACCAGCCCCGAGGCCATGTACCGGGCGGCCGGCGCGTTCGACTTTGACGTCAACCGTCGGAGAGGGCGGCGACCGCGCCCCGACGGCTCCTCCGCACCCAAACGGAAGAGCAGAGACGGTGAGTAGCGCCGGCTGGCGAAGGAAGGAGCGAGGAGGGATAGTCGGATACTTTGACTCTTCTTAAAGCATACTGCACGAAGCCTTGTCCGTCTTGTTCACTGTCCAGTGTCCAACTCGTCCCTTTTCACGCCGCAGACCCGTTCCAGTCGGTATCTAACTCTTCCCCGTTCGTTACGGCAGGCTCGTCGCTGTACCTGTGGGAGTTCCTGCTGAACCTCCTGCAGGACGCCCGCTACACACCCTCCATCATCAAATGGGTCAACTTCCGCGAGCACGTGTTCAAGCTGACCGACTCCAAGGCGGTGGCGGGCCTGTGGGGCCGGCACAAGAACAAGCCCGACATGAACTACGAGACCATGGGACGCGCAATGAGGTGAGGGAGAGCGGCAATGCTGAGTCTTTGTCTCTAGCAATGTGCTAGTGCAGCAGGTCATTAGCGTAAGGAACCGCGGTAATTGTTGTTGGTTTACAGTGACCAATCAAGCTTTCCTTTTCATGTAACCTTATCCTGGCCTCCGGCGAGATATCTCATTCTCGGCCTTATTGGCAAGGTTTGTGCGCATATTTTGCCATTCCTGCATAACATTACTACTCCGTAATGGTCTGAGAGAAAGTACCGGTAACGAATCGCTCAAACATTGTTGCGTGTCCTTCTCGTATGATCAGGGGCGGTCGCAGACTTGGAGTTTGGGGGGGGCCAACTTGGCAAAGGGGCCCCTGTGCTGACCCGGGGGCCCCGGTGCTAGAAGGGGCCCACGGGCGTAGTGCACGGGTGCAGAAATCCAGGCCATGGCCGGTGAAGCGGGGGGGGGGGGGGGGGGTAGGGAGCGGCACCCGAGCGGAGGCTCATTGCGAGCTTTGAGGATGTTCCATGTCGAAAAGGTACCGATAAGTGCATTTTAAAGCATTGATAATGCCAATAACTCACGCAAATGTGAATGGACTACCGCAAAAGTAAAGAAGGCTACCTTTGCCATTTTCTGAGATCATCGTGCTAAAACTTTTGACAGTGGGTCATCGGTATCTGTTCACTGTTCAATCACACGTGTTCAGTTTCATTTTGTTTTTTAGGTACTTGAGCACAAATGTAAGTTTTGAAGACCACTACAGTAGCAAATGCTTCGAAAGATGGATAGTGGGCAAAATATCCTAAATTTGTCGTGCTGCATGGAAAGTATAGTGTTGCTGAGAAAAGGGGGTTTGTTCCAGATTATTGTGGATGCAGAATACATTATCTGCACCCTATGCAGAATTATTGTTGGTGCAACTGCGCCCACTGCACCCATGGTTCCTACACTTACTTCGGCCCATCGATAGCGCTTCAGCGATACCTATCGCCTAGAGGCTGCAATGGGGCCCTTATAGTGCGGTGTCAGACCCCCAGAGGCCGGCGTTGGATCCAAGGGTCAGCGAAGGGCCTCAAAGGCCCCAGGTAGGGCCCCAGAGGCTGATGTGGGCCTTCAGAGGCAAGTGCGTGACGTCCAAAGGTAAGGCTTGAGCCCCCAGAGAACATAATAGGGCCATCAGTGGCCGGTGTAGAGACCTCAGGCCAGTTTTGGGCCCCCTCAGAGGCTAGTGTGGGGCCTCAGGTGTCGGTATGAGGCACTTAAAGACCGTTATGGGTCCTCAGAAACGGCATCGATCCTTCAGAAGCCAGTACGGGGCCCTCAGAGGCACATAAGGGTCAGTTTGGGTCCCAGAGACAGAAATGGGACCATCAGAGGCCGGTGTGGGACCTTTAGAGGCTGGTTTGGGTCCTTAGGGGCCAGTTTAGGGCCCTCAGAGACCAGTACAGGGCCTCCAAAGGGCAGTTTGAGACCATCAGAGACCGAATTGGGCACTCAAAGGCTAATCTAATGTGGGTCTTTACAGGCCAGCATGGAGCCCTCAGAGGTTAGCGTGGGGCCATAAAAGATCGACATGGGCCGGCGTTGGACCCCAGAGGCCAGTAGAGGGCCCTCAAAGGCCAAGATGGGCCCTCAGAGGCCTATGCGGGCCCTTAGAGGCCGGCATCAGGTCTTCAGAAGCCCGTGCGGGGCCCTCAGCGGCTAAGGTGGGTCCTTACATGACAGCACGGGCCCTCAGAAGTCAGTGTGGGGCCCTAAAAGATCGGCATGGGCCGGCGTTGGTCTCCAGAGGCCAACAGAAGGCCCTCAAAGGCCAATATGGGCCCTCAGAAGCCGATGCTGACCCTTAGAGGCCGGCATCGGGTCTTCAGATTCCAGTGCGGGGGGCCCTCAGAGGCTAATGTGGGCCTTTACAGGCCAGCATGGGGCCCTCAAAGGTCAGAATGGGACCCTAAAAGACTGGCATTGGCCGGCGTTGGACCCCAGAGGCCAGCAGAGGGCCCTCAAAGGCCAAGATGGGCCCTCAGAGTCCGATGCGAACCCTTAGAGGCCGGCATCGGGTCTTCAGAATCCAGTGCGGGGCCCATAGAGGCTAATGTGTGTCCTTACAGGCCAGCATGGGGCCCTCAGGTCAATGTGGGGCCCTAAAAGACCGGTATGGGCCGGCGTTGGACCCCAGAGGCCAGCGGAGGGCCCTCAAAGGCCAAGATGGGCCCTCAGACGCCGATGCGGGCCCTGAGCTGCCGGCATTGGGTCTTCAGAATCCAGTGCGGGGGGGCCCTTAGAGGCTAATGTGTGTCCTTACAGACCAGCATGGGGCCCTTAGAGGTCAGTGTGGGGCCCTAAAAGGCCGGCGTTGGACCCCAGAGACCAGCGGAGGGCCCTCAACGGCCAAGATGGGCCCCAGAGGCCGATGCGGGCTCTCAGAGGCCGACATCGGGTCTTCAGAATCCAGTGCGGGGCCCTCAGAGACACTTAAAGGTTAGTCTTGGGACTCGAGAGACAGAAATGAGGCCACCAGAGGCCGGTTGGGCCCCTGAGGCCGGTTTAGGGGCCCTCAAAGGCCAGTGGAGGGCCCTCAGAGGTCAATGTGGGTCCTCAGCGGTCAATGTGGACGCTTGACCGCCACTGAAGGGCCCTCAGGTCAGTGTAGGACCCTCAAAGACTGGTATGGGAGCTGTTAATGGCTGGCGTGGGTTTCTCGAGCCTCGTGACAATCGAATACGGGCCAGGGCCCCATACGGCCATGGGGGCCCATCGGTTGTTTGGGGGGGGCCAATTGATATGATGGCCCCCCCCTGATTTGCCTTTGGGGGGGGGCCATGGCCCTGATGGCCCCCCCCCCTGCGACCGCCACTGCGTATGATGTAGCTATTGCGCGCTGGTTGCGTCATTAGATCCAATTACGTCACTAACATCGCCATCGTGTCCCTATGACGTCACTGACTGTTTGTTTCTGTCTGGCTGGCAGGTACTACTACCAGCGTGGCATCCTCAACAAGGTGGACGGCCAGCGACTCGTCTACCAGTTCAAAAACGTGCCCCGGGACCTAAACGATATCGTCGAAATCGACTGTTCTGGCACATAGGTGGCACGGCGTCTGACTGCCCACTGTACAAACTGTACAAAAGTGTGATATACTGCCTCTCTGAGTACGTGCGGCGTGCGTGTGGAGACCCCCAGTGGGAGGCCCCTCCGGCGTGAGGAGCTCCAGTCAATGAGAGGGGCGGCGAGCGCCGACGCACCGGTGCGCCTGATGAACTGTGTGGTGAAGCGTATGATAAAGTGTATGCTCTATTGTGTCGCGCAGTGTTTGAATTGTGCGTGTTGAGAGTCGGTGTGAATGCGTCACCGAGACTTGCGTCAGCAGCGAATGCCTTACATCAAATCGCCCGACACTGTGGTGGGCCCTAACAAGCTATTTTTTACACTTAGACTGTGCGTGAAAAGTGAAAAGCGTGATCTCACTTTTTCAAGCCTACTTAATGTTCGTTGGTGCGTGGGGCATATATCGGTGCGCTCGCGTTCTCGTATATAAACCTAAACATATAATTATATCTGTGTTTGGCGGCCGCTGGCGCCGCCGTGTGTGTACAGATTATTTACCATTGTTCGCCGCGCCATCCCGAGTTTCCAGTACCTGACGGGGAGAGACCGGCGGCCACCTCCGAGACGCCCCAGGCTTCCAGCGCACGCTCCCCGCGCGGCCCGCCCAGCCCAGCGCCCCGCCCCGCCCCGGCCTGCTGTGTCATCGGTGTTCAGTCACTTTTCGCTGTTACTTCCTGGCGCGCCGCGTCCGTATGTGTTGACCGTTTCTTTGTCAGACGATCTGTGGCAGCAGGAATCTCGTGTGACAATCGGCCGCGCGCGCCGCGCTGGCCCGCTGTTCGTAGCCGTACCGCCGAGCCGCGCGCACCCCTCCCGGGCCCGAGCGGCCGAGTCCGCCGGTCAGTCGGCCCTGACGGCTCGGCCGACGGCGGCGGCGCTCCGTCGGCCCGATCACTGGTTATGTGTCGCCCTCTGTTTCGTCCTTCGTCAATTCACAATCACATATCTCTTTGCGGAGGCCTCGGTTCAAACCGGGGCGATCTGGCCGGAACGCGCGCGCTAGCAGGCTGTACAACGCGTGTCATGTCGATGGAAGAAGAAAGAATACAGATAAAACTGAACCAGCCCCGCCTGTTTTGTGACGTCGCTGTGGTGCTGCAGTTGGGATGCCTTTATCATGTGTAAATAGCTCGAGATATAATTCTCCGAGAATGACTAGTGGAAAGGCTAACGATAACATCTAGGCGTGAAATCCCAGTAAGGTACGGGACACAGACTTTGTCACGCAGCATCTACTAGCCAGTAGCCACACTCACAACTGATTGATCTGGATCGACATAGACACGAGCGAGTATTTGAGACCGTTTTGTGATGGGAAACGTCTCTTAAACTCAAACATAGACATCCTCAGAACCATGAGAAGTACTTGACATTTGACAAGTGGCTTGGGTGCGAAAAGGATAGACGGGCTAGTGAATAGCGGTTGACTCAGGGGACCTCCGGCCGATCTAAGAAAAGGCCAACAAGAAACCACAGGAGCTCTGACGTTACTAGGTATTTCATGCTAACTCTACAACAGGCTGGCTAATACAAAAACCAACCAGATACAGAACGGAAACCAGTGAAGTTCAATGCTGATTCGACTGACAGCCCAGAAGGTTGTTTCTGACAGAGAGCCACCACAAGCATACAGCAGCTCAACTGAAACTACCATTGACAGCCGAGGTGACAGATCAGAGGTCTGCACATTCACGATATTCTAGATGGCGGCAGCCGTACGGTATCACCTTGTAGAGGACGCTGCCTTCGCCGCACCAAAGCCAGAGTCGGCGGCGGATCGGCGCGCCGCGGCCTTGGCGATGGCTTTGGACGCAGAGGCGGCCGCGCCGCCGGCGGGCGCTGATATGACGCGTCGGTGCGGGGACGGAAGGGCGCGGCGGCCGACGGCTGGTGGTAAACTCCCTGGCGACGTGACGTCGGGAGCGGTAAAGTACCGATCAGTGCGCGCTGCCGACTGGACGAGTCAGTTCCAGTGTACGGCGGAGCGGTGTGGTGACAGGGCTCCGTGAGTCACGGTGTTATTTTCCGTGGCGTGTTTGTGGGCTGCCGACCCGGCCGGTCCTTGTCAGTGCGTGGGTAGGTGAGACGCTCTCCCAGCCGCCGACACACCGGTCAGAATGGAGACCGTGGCGCGGCACCAGACCGCCGCCGCCGGCCGGCTGTACCGGGTGCTGGCCGAAGATGACGGAGACAACGTGTTCGTCTCCCCGTTCAGCATCTTCACAGCCCTGACGATGGTGGCTGCCGGCGCCGACGGAGCCACGGCCTCTCAGCTGAGTGCAGCCCTGGTGCTGCCGCAGGACGCGGACTCACTGCACGAAGGGTACAACAAGGTGCTGGAGATGCTGCAGAGCCCGCCGAACGTCACGCTCTCCACGGCCAACAAGGTGTACGTGCAGCAGTCCTACAAGGTGCTGGACAGTTACACTGGCCTGCTGCAGAAGCAGTACCTGAGCAAGCTGACGAGCGTGGATTTCGCCGATAACGTGGGGGCAAGCAAACTTATCAACGGTGAAGTGGAGACCGAAACAAGAGGGAAAATCAAGGATCTGATCAAAGCCAGTGATCTGGATGAGTATGTTCGCCTGGTACTGGTGAATGCCATCTACTTTAAGGGCTCCTGGAAGCAGAAGTTTGACGCGAGCGAAACACAGGAGCGGGACTTCTTCGTGACGCCAGGAAACCCAGTCAAAACGCAGATGATGTACATGAAGGGAAGCAAGTTCAACTGCGGCCACATCCCCGAGCTGAGCTGCAAGGCACTAGAGATGCCGTACGAAGGCGATAGGTTCAGCATGATCGTGCTGTTGCCCGACCAGCAGGACGGCCTGAAGGACCTGGAGGAAAAACTGCCGTCAACGTGCATCAGAGACATCCGCGGCACTCTCTGCAACCAGAAAGCAGTCATACGGGTACCGAAATTCAAACTGGAAACTTCCTACGACCTGATCAAACCGCTCCAGAAACTTGGCATTAAGGACCTTTTCGACAAGAACGCCGACCTGTCCAAGATCTCGGGCAACAAGGAGCTGTACGTGTCGAAGGTCATCCACAAGGCGTTTATTGAGGTGAACGAGGAGGGCGCCGAAGCGGCCGCCGCCACCGCCGTCGCCGTCCGGATGAAACGCTGTATGCCGATGATGGACGCCGGGCCGTTCGAGTTCACTGCCGACCACCCCTTCCACTTTGTTATCTTCGACAGGGAGACGGGACTGACGCTCTTCTCAGGCCGCTACGCCAAGCCTGTCTAGACCGATGGAAGCGGACGGGTCGGGCTAACGGTCGGCTCCAAGGCAGATACACATGATTGTTGGCGTGTGCCATGTTGTTTTTGTTGTGTTAACGTATCCATTTTAGCCAGTACTTAATTATTATAGACCAGCAGAGCAGTATCACAGCTGGTATCTGTTTTATTATTTTGAAATCCAACTTTGTGAACAGCACATGTTTCAGCTATGCTAATAATTCAGGTAAAATAAAGACATACCACTCCACAAAAAAGGGAATGTTCAACGCAGTGCTTATGGAGAAAGCGCTGAGAAAATATAGAGGCAAGCTATAAGTTAATAGCCCCCTACAAAAGCACTTTGAAACTCACTGGGGGCGAACACAATGTGAGGGATGCTTCACGTCAACCCGCGAGAAACTTTACTGCTGTTTGAGCAGGTTAGCGGATCAGACTTTTTCACGGCTTGTGATGTGGTCCTACAGTAGGCGAATGACCTGGGAATCTTATACGCACGCGGAAGCAGAAGAAAACTACCGCAATATTTCAAAGAATCAATGAGTAGCGCTGGTTTTGCAAGAGCCAGAGCAAAAAAAAAGTATGTAAAGTAGTTCATTCAAGTGAGAGTCAAGAGTAAGAAACAGATGCGATGTATTATCACAGGCTAAGCGATGGGTAACAATGCCACCTATTCCTTAAACAGTCTAACCAAAAAGCACTTCTCCAAAAGTACCAAAAACTGCCTCTTGACTGGCATGATTCTCTGCAGCTACGCTGCACACACCTAACCGCGTAGTCTCACTGAGTATGCGGTCATCACCTGACTGACTTTACCCTCCCCACCACACCCGTGTCTGGAGGGTATCACAGCGCCTTCAGCCGCGCTGACAGCTCGGAGAACATCCTCTCCTCCTCCTGGGTCCTCCCCGAGACGTACAGCAACTCCAGCCGACGCACACACTCGGAGAGACTAACTTCCGCCGGAGCAGCATCAGCCGTACCTGAGATCACCGTCTTGGTACCCGTATCACTGTTAGTAGCACTGCTACCCCTGGGGTCGTCCCCTGCGTTGTCACTTGTCACACTACCTCGAGTGGAGACCGAAGAAGGCCGGTCAGTGTTGGCACTAATGCCATCTGTCGGTGATGTATCGCACTGTGACTGCTCACCGGCGGCGGAGGATGGCGCCACTTTCACGCCGTTTGATGAGCTCGGGGTGGCGGAGGAATCCGAGCCGGCGAGGTGAGCCTTTTGGTGCAGGACTGAGAGCAGGGCCGGCAGAATGTACTTTCTTCCTGTCTCCCACAGACACCCTGAAACACAGAGACAACCATCGGTGAACATCAATCCTGGAGTTGTGAATATGCATTTAGTAGCTTCCACAAGAAATCGCATGCCATTTAGCACGGCTTAACAATTTCCAGTAGGGTCACAACACTGCCAGCTTGGCTACCTTCACTGTTTGTCCTCAGACATAATATAATTTTGGAGGATATAGTTCAGCGGAAACGGTCTCCCCGAGTGAACTGGAGTCTGGACTTGGGAGGAGGGTCATCAGCCATAGACATATTTTGGCATTCCGAACGTTGCCAATAAGTCGTTCTGTAAACCTAGCCTGGACTGTCGTGTAAACTGACCCCTAAAGAGGTAGGGTAACGACGTGAACTCACCTCTGGGGGAGGGCACCAGAAGCGCGCAGAGCAGGGGCAGCTGAGACGGCACGCTCTGCTGACATAGCGCCAGCAGTTTGACCAGCCGCGCCGCCGATACGGCCGGGTCCGACTCCAGGGCGGCCAGACACAGCTCCGAGCACGCCGCCAGCCACAGCTGAAACACACAGACACCGATATAGGTCATCAGTTTCACAAACCCATCAGAGCACACTCTGGCCATGTGTCTACGGTTTGTATGCCAGGCGATCAGTGACCCTCTACCCCACACCGTCGCCAGCTGCCTGGCCATATCGCGGACCCACCTGTTTGGGCGAGGTCGGAATGGTCCGGTAGGCCACCTCCTGCAGATTCTGCTGCAGGTCTTCCTGCTGCTCCAACCCCGCCGTCCGCCAGGCGTGGCGGAGCTGAGCCAGCAGCCACTCGGTGCCGTCCTCCTGCGAGCTGACGGCAGTCGCATCACGACCCTCCTCTCCGACTGCTTTCTCGTCGTACTTCACTCTCTGCTGTTCGTCGGAACTTTTCTCTTTCCCTGTCACACTCTCTTGCTGTCCACTCTCCGCTGAGGACCCCTCTCGCTCCTTCTCCCTCTCCTCCGCACTCTTTCCTGAATCGTCACTCTTCCCGTCCATCCCGTCCCCCGTTGTCTGCTCCGTGGAACCGGTACCGTCCTCCCCACTCAGCAGTCGGGCCGCCCACTCGTACAGACGGTGTTTGGTGGTCTCCAGCTCGGCGGTTACCGTCCGGTGGGCGACGCACAGGTGCGCCCCGGCCTGCGGTACAAACGGGGCAACGTCAATGACAAGGACAGTTACTATGGCTGAACAATGAATACAGCATACAGTGACGCATTGGGAGAATATGACAGCCCGTAGTATCAGCGTATGATGGGTACGTAAACTACCATACACGTGAAAATGACTGAAAATAACACTGCGTGGATATTTCTTGAATAATGGACTAGCTTTTCAGCCAGTGTCAGAAAGCTGAAAAAGTAGGCAGCTAGCCTTATCATGTTATTGCCAATGCTCGACATATTCTCTCGCCATCCCGGTCTTCTTATTTCCATCCCTCCCCCACTCACCACCACCACGGGCACCTCCCTGGCCACGGCCAGGCCGACGTCCCACTCGGCGCGCAGACAGCTGGCGTGTACACAGAGCAGCGCCAGGGCGCGCGTCTGGGTGCGGTCGCCGGTGCGCGCCCACAGCCGGGCGGCCAGGCGCAGTGAGCCGGGGTCCGAGCGACGGGAGAGGACGCCAGCCGCCGCCGCCCAGTCGCCCAGGGACAGGTAACTGCCCAGACAGACGGAGATGGAATGGAGGGTCAGATGAAACACGGACGTTTATGGAGTTGCTGATGGAAAACAACGGAGCGGGGTCACAGCTTAATTGCAAAACAGTCTTCAACATATGTGAAATAATTGTACCGCATCGAAGTATTGTTTGTACCGGTTAGCACAAAATACCCAACAGCTGAACTCCTTTTCCTACAGTCCCACTCCTGCTTTCCCAGCAGTCCCGCGGACTGACCATTTGGCCGCCTGTTCCATGTTGCCTTCGGTGGTGAGCTGGTCGGCCCACAGGCGCAGGATCCGACCGTGGCTGGGGTCGTCGGGAGCCAGTCTCAGACGGGAGACACACAGCGCCTCGCGGTACAGGCTGTGTCGGAGCAGCAGCGCCACAGCTTCAGACACCTGCCGGGTACAGAGTGGAGGACGTGAGGACCGGTTACATAGTGAGCAGCAGCGTCACGGCCTCAGATACCTGCAGACAGTGGAGGGAGGACCGGTTATATAGTGAGCAGCAGCGTCACGGCCTCAGTCACCTGCAGATAGTGGAGGGAGGACCGGTTATACAGTGAGCAGCAGCGCCACAGCCTCAGACGCCTGATAGTGGAGGGAGGGCCGGTTATATAGTGAGCAGCAGCGCCACAGCCTCAGACGCCTGATAGTGGAGGGAGGGCCGGTTATATAGTGAGCAGCAGCGCCACAGCCTCAGACGCCTGATAGTGGAGGGAGGGCCGGTTATATAGTGAGCAGCAGCGCCACAGCCTCAGACGCCTGATAGTGGAGGGAGGGCCGGTTATATAGTGAGCAGCAGCGCCACAGCTTCAGATACCTGTTAGTTACATAGCAGAGTGAGGAGAGGACTTGTGTGACAGTGAGCGCTTAAGACAGAACATACAGTCACGTCCTTCCGATCTCCATCACGTTGCGTTGCTCAGTAACAATCATCAGAGCATCCCATCATGTCATAGCCCATTTCAATTTTACGACCGCCTCTAGCCGAAAAACGGCATACTTCAGCGATAAAAGAAAACGCCCATTCCAAACAAGACTACGCTGTGCTGGCCCGAATCGGCCAGCGTAAAGGGCAACCGCGGGTGACCCACCGCCATCGTCTGTCGCCTCACCTTGTGACAGGCCAGGAGTACAGAGGAGGCCTTCAGACACTCCTTCGAGTTCTCCAGCTGCTCGGCGTACTTGAGACTCATCTCCTCCCAGAACCTGGGAGCGAAGCGGGGGCGTGTTACAGATCGTTCAGCAGGATCTGTAGGCTGATCGGGATCGACATCTAGCGATGGGACTGACTACAGCAACTAATAATCGTCTAGCTAGAGGCAGCCAGTCTGTCCGGGATACGATTAAACCGGTGCCGCAGCCGGTTAACGTAACCCAAGTTGACGAAATGGTTTCATCGACCAAGTTTCTTGGTTGGTTCTTAGTTAGTTGCAACTTTGTAAGCAACTAACCAGAAATTGAAATGATCTCCATCTTCGTAAAGCTACACATGCCCCCTTCTCAAACAACAGCCGTGCCCGTTCTCGCCGCCACATCCGTCCTCTCACCAGCTGCAAGACACCATGGACGCCGTCCGTTCTGACCTGTAAGAGACCATGGGCGCCATCTATTCTCACCTGTAAGACACCATGGGCGCCAGCGCGAGCAGCTCGTCGGTAAGCAGGGCCTCGGCGGCGGCAGCTCTCACCACGGCGGCCGCGTCTCCGCGCCACAGTGACATGTGCAGCAGCTGCGCGGAGCTCTTCTGCGCCTCGTGGTGACGCACTGGGGAACACGACAGATGCGGCGAGATTCAGTTAGAGCATTGGGACTGGGAGTAGTAGGGACGCGAGTTTGTATGCATGTAGCAGCAGCAGACACGTCTAAACTGAAGAGATCATATTCCAAGTCCACTGATATTCAGCAAAGACGCAAGTCCGGACTGAGCCAAACATTTAACATATGTCCCATTCAAGACAGAATTACGCATGGGAACTACAGGCCTCACGAAGAGGCCTCACTTCCTGAAATCCGTTAAAGTCAAACTAAAAGTGTGGGAGTTAAGTATATGTGTTTTTGGTAATGAGTGACATTACCGCGTGACGTCTACTCAAAAATAATAAGGCCGAGTGGTTTATTTAGTCATAGCTAAGCTTACACTCAACCCTAAAACCCCGTCCCCACTCACTCTCTTTGTCGACCATATCTCTCAGCGCCGCGTCGTTCCCGAACAGGCCGACGTGACTCCAGCCGTCTCCGC